TTTTAATAGCTCCCTTACACTGGGGTAGGGATGGAAATTCGATAAAATCACAAAAACTTTGAAGATCAAGAAATAACCCTGTTGTGACTGACCTGGACAGAGCTTCAGTCACAAATCTGGCCATATAATTTCCCTGTGGCATTTATACAAAAACTTAACAGTGCAAATGTAGAAAGTACGTAGAAGAAAACTTAAATGAAGGTCTAATAGAAGAGGCACCTCCACTCTATCTTGTGTTGATATGAAATTAGAAAGCAAAAATTGGGTAACATAAATGAACATTAAGGCACTCCATCTTCCGATGCTTGCAGGGAATCGAACAAGAGGAGAGGATAGTTGGGCTGCAGTGCAGAAGATCTTTGTAATCATCTAGGTATCTTCAGAACTAAGATTCAGAACTAAGAACAATTGAAAAGGTCCATTTAACACTTGTGAATGCACAGATGGATTGCTGACTGCTAACGTTAAATTATTGAAATAATTCAGTTTATTTAAACCACCTAATTTGATATACCAGTATAACAAACCATTGCATAATCCTTACTGAAGAAATATAATCAAGTTTAAGTATTTGCTAGCAGTTTGACTCTGTGTGTGTGAAAGTAGAAACAATGCTTCCTGATTCCAACTAAGAAGGCTCATATGAAACCTCCTCTCAAAGAACAGTACACTAATGCTAATGAAAATAATGCACGCTAAAAGTATCAAATAGAACATCCCAGTTATGGTCTGCAGTCCCTTTCAATTACACTCATTTAAAAACCTCCAATTTTTTCTACCATAATCCATTCAGTTTTATCACATAATTAATATCCAAATTCTGGTAGAAAGTTTATGAATCAAGAGCTAAGAGCTTAGAATGCTCGAACGAGCAATTCAATCCGTTTAAAGCATTTGGATTTCAAGATTTTTGTTCTCAAACCAACAACATCTTGGACAACATGTTAAGTGTACAATCTAAAGTTTCAATGAACAGAAACTCAAAAAAATGATGCTTACTGATTCCTCAAGTAAGTTTCTCATGAACTGAATATTCTAAACGATGCTTCTTG